AAAACAATAACCGTACATAAAGAAAGCCTTAAATAGTGCTTGCATCGGTTAAGACTTACTCTGCATAGAATAGAAACCCCAGTGGGGCTCCTGGGTGGCTCAGTCAGTTAAGTATCCACTTCGGCTTGGGTCACGATCTCACTCGTGGGTTCGAGCCCCACATCGGACTCTGTGCTGACAGCTCAGAGCCTGGAGCCTATTTCAGATTCTGTGTCTCCCTCTCTGACCCTGCCCTGCTCACGCTGTCTCTGTCTCTCTCAGAAATAAATAAAACATAAAAAAAAAAAAAAATGGAAACCCTAATAACCATGGTTTCGACGAGAGTCTGTCAGCGTAGAGCATCTGGGGTGGACCAGGCGCCGTTCACGGCACTTTTCACACACTGTACGAAGTCCGTGCCGCACCTGACGATGGAGGGTTCTCTTCCTCATGAGCAAAGGGAGAAGGGAATCACATGTAGGCAACAGACGTGCTTCTCATGGAAAGACACGGCGGTCCTCGGCCCTCCCCACATGTCCTCCACATCCCTCTCCTGGTCCCCGCCTGGCTTTTGTCTGTTCCTCTGTGTTTTCTTGCTGTTCCCTCCCTGTTCATCCCCTGTGGTTAATACAGCAGTTTATGGATACACCAGTTGTCAGTGTGTATAACTTCAGGGACTATAAATATTCAGTGCCCATCCCGTGGCCTCGTAACGCACTTTCCATTCTCGTGGTACCATTTTCTGCTTTTCCTTAGTGAAATAATTGCCTCGTTTCTTCATTTGCCTCCTTCTGTTTGAAACTTTTGTGATCTTTTGTTATCTGTTCGAACCGACATCCAACACCTATGAATAATGTTTCTGGTTAAAACAAAATCATAATGTTTCTGTTTAGAAAATACACTGTATATGTCGTAATAACAATTACAGATCTGTCATCGCTAGGTTCTCTGTGAGCCCTGTCTGTTCTGTCCCGGAGATGCCCCCCGGAGCCCTGTAGCTCAGCACACAGCTGTCGTCCCGGGCTGCCCCTTCGTGGTAGCTCTCCTCCGTCCTGCTTCCTGGCACGGTCTCACATTTGGCCGGCACACCAGTTCCACTGGTTTCCAGGGAACAGCTCTCAAGGAGGGAAAATGTCAGATTTTGCCATGTCCAGAAATACCTTCATGCTGCATCACACAGAACGAGACTTTGGCTGAATATAAAGTCCTCTCATCTTATAACCGTATTTGCTCTCATTTCTTTGCATCTCACATGTGGGGTTTGGGGAAGGGGTTCTTTTATTTTCAGTTAGAAAATGTGAAAGTCTTTTTTTCCCTTTAAACACTCTACGAAGTTTCTTCGTGTGCCACGGTGTGTGTGTTGACCTTCTCTTTGCAATTTTTAGCTCTTCAGTTCCCAAAATGTTCCTTGTCATTCCTCCCATCTGGTTTTTTTTTTTTTTTCTGTTTATTCTTCTAAAAGGCCTCACCATATAATGTTGGATTCCCTAGGTTGTTCTTGTAATTTTTCTCTCTTTTCTGTTCTATTTGTCTCTGTTATGTTTTAGATTATTTTCAAACTTTTATTCTCACCGTTTCAGTCAATTTTTTAAAAAAAAAATTAACATTTGTTCATTTTTGAGAGACAGAGAGTTGAGAGACACAGAGCGTGAGAGGGGGAAGGGCAGAGAGCGAGAGAGACACAGAATCCAAAGCTCCAGGCTCTGAGCTGTCAGCACAGAGCCCGACATGGGGCTCGAACTCACCGACTGTGAGATCATGACCTGAGCAGGAGTCAAACGCCACCCCGGCGCCCCTGAGTCAACTTTTTTTTTTTTTTTTAATGTTTTATTTCTGAGAGAGAGAGCGCAGGTGATGAGCAGAAAGAGAGGGGGACAGAGGATCCCAAGCGCGCTTTGCGGTAACAACAGATGCGGGGCTCAAACTCACAAACCGTGAGATCATGACCTGACCCGAAGTCATACACTTAACCAACTGAGCCACCCAGACGCCCCTCAGTCAACTTTTTTTATTTATTTATTTTGGCTATCGTGTTTTAAATTTCCAAAGCCCCTTTTTTTACATTTCATTGGGAGTTTTTGGTGGCGTCTTTATTGTTTCTTCTTCTTCTTGTTACATAGATGCTGTATTTTATCTTTCTGAGGATTTGAATTTATTTTATAAAATACTTTCTCTCTTACTGCCTCTGGTTCCCTTCCCACCGCCCACCCACCCCCTGACTTGTTATTTTGATCGCCTGCTTTCGTTTGAGAGCCTTTCCTCAATTACCTTCTCATCCTTCGGCACCATTCATGTTTCAGAGCAAAGCACCCAGAAGTTGATAGAAGGCTCCTATACATCAGGAGAGCTTGTCAGGAAGGCAGTGAGCTGCCTTCGAAGGTTTTAGGTTATAGGATGTCAAGACAGCTTTGTCTTCAGGAGCATTCTAGGCGTCAGTGTCCGGGGTGTGTCTGGCACCATTCAGCTCCCTCAGCCCCGGGTCTAGGGATGGTACGTGACGGGAGTCTGGAAGCCACGACGTCCAGGGAGGCAGGGAGCCCTTGTGTGTGGGGAATGCCCTTTATCTTTCTCTCTCTGTACATCTGCTCTTCCAAATATTTGTTGAATTCTTTCATCTTTTTTTGTCTTCAGTTCTTGTCTTTGGGAATTTATACTTCTTAACAGCAGGAAGAAGAAACGAAGTCATGTGGTCAAGTTACCACATTAACTCACAGTCTTCTACTCTTCAGTTATGCCCGTTCCTCACGGTTCTTCTCAAGTATCTTCAGTTTCCTACTGCTTTTCCCACCTACGCCAGTGGAGAGAGGCTGAGGCTTATTCTCTGTCTGCTCCCACACCTTTTTGATGGCCAGCGTGGCACGATAAAAGATACTTAGATTTGGCATTATGGTTAGAGGAGCCCCAACCAGATTTGCAGGAGATTTTCCTTTGGGTTGATTTTCCACACCATGTTTGTATATAGACAAGGATATTGGCTTTCTTCGGGGTTGAATTTCCCACCACCCAGATTTAAAAGAAGACCTAAATGCAGCTTGTCTTTGCATTCACAACTAGAAATTCCAGGCTCTTTCTGAAATTGGAAGAGTGTTTTCAAGTTAGATGGATTTTCAGAAAGAGAGTTGTCACCATTGATGTTACTGTTAGAACATCACCCATCACAGCTGACTGAGTCTCAGGTCGTGCGGGGCTAATACAGGCCCTTCCTACTCGGCGGGTTTCCTCCCCCCCCCACTGAAGGACGTTTTCATAGGATTCCAAGTTGTCGATTGGGATCTCTCCCCTCCTTATTCTGTGCAGCCCACTGCCAGGTGACTGAACAATTAAAATGTGTTACGGGGATATGAAAGTGGCCCCGCTGTAGAGGAATGTTGGAAATTACCTTGGACGACTTTTTGTGCTCACTATGTGCTTGGATTGTCCTGAAATAATTCTCAGACTCCAAATCTGTTGGCAATCAAGATATGCCTCAGATCTCCAACTTTCTTTTTCATCGGAAAATAACTTCGCCCAAGCAAAAGTCAGCTGTGAAAATTTCTTCACGAGGACCGAAACGTCCTCGTGAAGAAATTTTAATTATAAGAATTCATCCATGTGTAGGATCAGAGGTACAGTGGACGAGGTTTCCTAGGTGACAATCTATACAATGTGTGTGTATGTCCTCTTTGATTCTTACTTTCAATCAATGTTACCAACTTAAGAGTTCGTGCATCTTACCTCTAGTAATTAAGAAAGAGTCAGTGACCCCCGTTAAAGGAAAGACCTAAAGGAAGGGCATGAATGTTTGTTTCTGGTTTTGTTTTTAAATGACGGCATCTGCTTTGATCACAGTACAAAAATCGAGAAGGAGAAGAGAGAGCACGCGAAGCAGCACGGCATGATCCGCACGGAGATCACGGGAGCCGAGATCGCAGAAGAGATGGAGAAGGAGAGGCGCCTCTTCCAGCTCCAGATGTGCGAAGTAAGAGCCGCTGCTGCAGGCATCTGCCTGGCGCTCGGTTAACCGTGAACTTTCTGGCAGCTCAGCAGTTTTTCTGCTTGAGTGCAGGCTGTTTGAGTATGAGAGGAGGGACTGTTTCTTAAGGGTTCTCATCTCCATTTTTCTCCAAGCCTTGTGGGACCTGCCATTTCACTGTTGTCTCATATTTTGAGCCTTGGTCCTGTGGGGCCCTATATGCCACAGCAGGATTCTTCGGTGAGAACTTGAATGCCGCTTGTGAGTGAGTGTAGGAGAAAACGTTTGGTGAGGAGTAACACGGGTGACCGTGAAGTCCTGCTAGCCCAGGTTTAGAGCATGTGTTGTTGTTTTTTAACCATGTGTCCAGTTGGAATGAAAGCTTAAGTAAAGTGATCGTGAAGAAAGTCTGAGTTCATGAAAGAAATGTAATGGAAGCATGTTCCCTTTGACTTAGAGCAGTGGTTCTCAAACTGGGTTCCCAGCGGGCACTGGTACTCCTTGACCCGTGGCCACCTGCCATTCTGACGCCAGTGTGTAACACTTTGTCTGTCGGTTTTCCAGAAATTCTGAAATGGATAGAATTTTCCCAGTTTTACGTTTTTCTTTTTTCTGAATATTCTTTTCTCCCCCCCTTCCACCTTTTAGTTTCTTCTTGAACCTGTCTGCGCATAAACACTTCTTTATAATAAAACAAGTGAAAAAAAACAGCAAACAATCTCAACAGAAAGTCTTGGATACTGGTAAACATCAGAGCTAGTAGTGTTTGTTAACTACGTAACTAATAACAAGTTATTTTAATTTTAATTTTTTCTTATTCTTTCATTCTTGAGTACCGAACACTCTTTCTAGAAGTTTCAGCACCTCACAGCATATTCCTCACAGAGAATGCAATTTTACTTGTTTTCTGCAAAGAACAGTCTGTCTTTCAGGTGCCGACCATGTGAACTCTAAGTTTGAGATCCACTGCATCAGAGGGAAATAATCGAACATTCCAGAATGTTTTTTGCTGTGTTTGATTTCTGCCTGTCTAGTAAACTAATCTTGAGAATTTGTGAACCACTAACATTCTAATCATTTCGTTTGTACACTTTTGATTGTGCCCAGTGGTCATTTCCCAAATTAAACTCCCACTGTCTGAAGGAAGCCAAGGTTCAGTAACTCGTGCAGATTCACGACTGATATTCTGCCACCCAAACTAATGACTGGAAAACCCTGTCTGTAGCAGTCAACATACAATTCTGTTTTATTTCCACAGTATCTCATTAAAGTTAACGAAATCAAGACCAAAAAGGGTGTGGATCTGCTGCAGAATCTTATAAAGTATTACCACGCACAATGCAAGTAAGTGGACTGTTGACCATGATTATTAGCCCACGTAAAGAGCCCCTTTACTTCTTTGCCTTTCTTGATTGTTTCTTTCTTTCTGGTTTCATTTGGTTGCTATATATACTGATAGAATCTTCCATAGCCACATGGTAAGAAATAGTATGATCTTCCATCTTCGTTGTTTTCTGTAAATCAGTAACTCATATTAATGCAACTATTTGGTTACTCAAAAATGTTGTCTTATTTACAAATCCTAACATTGGCCCTGAAGTCTGTTAAGCTCTTGTTACAGATACATAACATCCCTGTCACGACAGAGGCCTTCTCGGTGACCCCCTCCCCCTCTCCCTTACTTAGCATTTTACCTATTATTGGTTCGTTTGTACCACATATAGCTACTTGGAATTTATTTTTCATCATCTGAATTAGGCGAAATTAAATACCTTGGGCATTAAGAATACTTTGCCTCTATGGGACGCCTGGGTGGCTCGGTCAGTTAAGCATCCGACTTGGGATCAGTCATGATCTCACAGCTTGTGAGTTTGAGCCCCACCTCGGGCTCTGTACTGACAGCTTAGAGCCTGGAGCCTGCTTCAGGTTCTATCTCCATCTCTCCCTCTCTCTCTCTCTCTCTCTCTCTCTCTGCCCCTCCCCCACTTGTGTTTTCTCTCTCTCTGCCTCTCCCTCTTTCTCTCTGTCTCTCTCAAATATAAATAAACATTTAAAAAAAGTTTAAAAAAGGAATACTTAATCTCCATACTTGAATGCCTGTGTAATTGGGAGTGTGCTTTGAGAACCATTCGTTGTTCATAAAAACCAGCACCATTTTTATGAACATTGTATTTTTATTATGTTTGAGATTCTGCGGCATTACATTTGCTTATTTACTTCTTGTTTACTTACTGGATTAGCTTTCATGGCTTTCTGATAGAGTTTTTATATGAAAAATGCCCATTTAAAAAAGATTTTTTTAATGTTTACTTATTCTTGAGAGAGAGAGAGAGAGCAGGGGAGCGTCAGAGAGAGAGGGAGACAAAGAATCCAAAGCAGGCTTCAGTCTCCGAGCTGTCAGCACAGAGCCTGATGCTGGGCTCAAACCCACAAACCGGGAGATCATGACCTGAGCCAAAGTTGGATGCTTAACCGACTGAGCCACCCAGGCACCCCTGAATTTTAATGTACTAAAAATACTTTTGCATTCAACTGAGACATTTAGGGAGGTGGGCATTAATGCTGTGGGAGTCACACAAGGCATGAGTCAGACAGAAAGAGAAGTTTAGACCCTGGCAGCCAAGTGACCCTGTGACCTTCATCAGGTTCTTCTCTACACCTCAGTATTCTCATCTGTCGGGTGGGGCTAAGGTTCGTAGATGTGAGAATGAAATGAGATGGTGCATGCGCAGTGCCGTGCCTGATGTCGGCCCCATTGTATGCGCTTGCTGAGGAGCCCACGGAGCATTGAAACCACGCCTGGGTGCACATATTGTACACAGTTGTTTCTCTTCAGGGAAAATTGTAATGATCAGATGGCTATTTACGTGAATTTGCTTAACTCTTTCTGCTTTTCAAAGCAAATTCTACCTTGTATAATAAATGGGTTTCGCGTATAAAAATAATCCATTGAAGCGAAAACAGTTTCACGTTTATAAGATAAAGTTTGCCTGTGGAAGCCTCACACTCAAGGCCTGGTCTAACCTTTGGCTTCGTAGCTCAGCGGGGCACATAGGAAACTGCGAAATGTGTCGTGCTATCCCCTCATTGGAGTTGAGGGTGGAATCTTTCACTTTCCATCAACTTGTTTTCCTAGAAACATCTCATTGCTTTGACACCTGTACAGAAATAAGTGAGCTTCTCAGTCTTCCTCAGTTACAGCACTTGGGCAGCAAATCTGATTATCTGATTTTAGAAATCTCTCTCTCTCTCTCTCTCTCTTTTTTTTTTAAGTAAGCTCTATGCCCAGTGAGGGGTTCAGACTCACAACCCCAAGATCGAGAGTCACATGTTCCACCGACTAAGCCTCCCAGGTACCCTAGAAGTCTCTTTTCTTTTGATCTCACATTCTCTTAGTCTGTAGAGAAGGGTTTAACCTTCACAAACATGAGTTTTCCAAAATGTAAGATATTTTGTAAACTGTATATGTCTTAGCCTTCATTGGTAAAGGCGAAAAGAAGAGCCCTTCTGACTTGTATAGCTGACATTTCCTCCCTGTGTTCTTTCTTCCCTGGCTTTTTCCCTTTCCAAAGCTGCTTATCAATCTCCTGACAGAGGCCAGGCACCCTGTAGGTTCTGGGGTACGAAAGTGAAACAAGACTCTACCCTTAGAAGTTAATTGTCTGGTACAGGAAGTAAACTGGATCATCATCAACACAGTGGGCCCAGGAAGTAACTGATGCTATGGGCATCAGGAAAAGGGGAGACTTTCATCCAGGGGCACTGAGGAGAGCTCCTTGAAGGGGTGGTAGCGGTTGGGATTTGGCTTGGGGGATGGCTAGCCTCTGGCCGTTGAAATCTGGTAGAAGAGTCTGTCTCTCCCAGGGGGAGAGAGATCAGCAGAAGGAAACCCTAAACAGTAAAACCTCCTTGTGGGGAGAGGTATCCAAAAACATCAAGGAGTAATGAGTTAGAATGGGATTCATTCAGGCCTAGCTGCCCCATGGTTGAACCTCAAGAATTCCCACACAGCAAGAAACCAGGGTAGTGTTTTTGGGTTTTTTTTTTTAATTTTTTAATATTTGTTTATTTTTGAGTGAAAGAGACAGAACACAAGTGGGAGAGGGGCAGAGAAAGAGGGAGACACAGAATCCGAAGCAGGCTCTGGGCTCTGAGCTGTCAGCACAGAGCCCAGCGTGGGGCTCGAGCCCACAGACCAGGAGATCATGATCTGAGCCAAAGGCGAACACTTAACCGACGGAGCCCCCCAGGTGCCTCCAAGGTAGTGTTCTTTAGGGGAGACTCTGAGTCTTTCCTACTTCAGGCAGTCCCTCAAGACCTCTTAATACATATATAATAGAGTTGTAAAATGTCTCTACTTAACTGAGAGAGTGATTTCATATTCTAAGTATCCCTCCCAGTATGATGTTCCGTGTAAAGTCAGGTGGTGCCCAAGAGTGAATTTGCTCTGGCGACACCTTGTTTAGTCCCAGCACCCTGGTGGGGATGCAGCTGCTATAATGAAAAAACAAAGGGAGCAGGAAGGAAGAGCTTTAGACTTTTTGCTAGCCATTTCTGCTCACCCACACCGATCACTCCTCATTTTCAGACACGAGCATTGTGCGGAACGTGCTGCTTTCAGGACAAACCTATTATTCTGCTACTCACTCCTTTTCCCACCTGGCAAGTATCATTACGATCTCTCTGTAGGATCACAAGCACTTACACTGTTCTAGTATCCTTAGTTTAAAAGTAATAATAGCTAACCTTTATCCAGAGCAGTGGGGAAAGCGTAGCTCAGGAAGGATGAGTAACTTGCCCAGAGGCACATTCGCTCTTTCACTAGATGCTCAGTAAACAGGTGTCAAAATGGACAAAGAAAAAGAAACCAAAGGAAAAAAATAGATAAATTGGACTTTAAAAGGTTTTGTGAGCGAACGGGCAGTGTTAAGAAAGTGAAAAGGCAACTCACAGAACAGGAGGAAAGTAGTTCCGAGTCACTTCTCTGATAAGGGTCTAGTATCCATAGTATATAAAGAACTCTTACAGCTCCACGACAGAAAGATAACCCAGTTTAAACATGGGCACAGAATTTGAAGAGCCATTTCTCCAAAAGAGATACACAGTAGCCAAAAGCACAAGAAAAAAGCCTCAACATCTCAGTCACTGGGGAAAATACACATTAAAACCACACGGAGATACCACTCCGTACCCACTAGGATGGCACTGTTTAAAATACAAGAGAAGCAACAAAGTGGAAAATAGGTCTTGGCGAGAATGGAGAGAAACTGGAGCCCTCAGTGCATCGCTGAGTGAAATGTAAGTTGGCGCAACTGCTTCGGGAGACAGCTTGATGGTGCCTCCAAAAGTGAATCCTAGAATTACAGGCATCGCCATCCCACGCCTGGGCGTATATCCAAGAGAATTAACAGCAAGTATTTAAGCAAAAATCGGTTCCTATACGTTTATGGCATCATTATTCACAATAGCCAAAGCGTGGAAACACCCAAATATCCATCAGCTAATGGACGGACGAGATACAGTAGAGCACGCAATGGGGCCTTACTCAGCCGCATGGGAGAATGGCGTATTGTAAACCACGTTGGGACACGTCACCAAAGGGATATGACTAGTGACTGGCCGGCGAGCTGGACCCAGACATTCAGAGGCTCCTCCCCCTCCCCTGTCCTCGGAATGTGGCTTTCCCACAGGCCTTCCCCGCTCCCAGAGGCTGCCTTGAGATGGTGCTGTGCTGTGGAAGACACAGGGCCTCTTTATAAACTCCCAAGACTTGGAGGCAGGTCCCGGGATCCGGGCACCTTGCTGCCTCCGGAGACAACATTGGACCGTAAGCTCCCTTCGCTGCTGCTACCCCTGCTACCTGCCAGCCTGGAGTGGCTGCTGCCTCGGCCCTCTCCCTGCCCTCCGATTACAGGGGCCAGTTTCAGATCCCACCCAGGAAGCTCCCTCAAGGGTTACAGATCCTCGTACACCGTACGACACGGAGGACCAGCCCCCACATTATTCAAGTGGAAGAAGCCAGACGTGGAAGGCCACACATCGTGTGATTCCATTTCAAGGAAATGTCCAGGAAGACATGTCCACTGAGACAGAACGCGGATTATTGTTTGCCGGGGAAAGGAAGAATTGAGAATCACTGCTCATAGGAGCAGGTTTTCTTTTTGGGGTGATGGACAGGTTCTGGACTTGGGTGGTGGTGATATTTGCACCACGTCACAAATATACTAAAAACTAACTTGTACATGTTGAAATGGTAAATTTCATTGTGCATGAATTTTATCTCATTTTTTTTTTTTAATGCAGAAAACAGCAACAGTGCAAAAACAAAGACCCATGACCTCAGG